TTGTTTAGACTTCTGAGAAAGTGGTTAGATGAGACTTGGAAAAAACAGATATCTAGATTTTCCCTCCCCACTCCCATTCTCACGCTCCTTTGCCCACAAATTAGGTGCAAAGCCAGACTAATGAGCAAAGTAAGTGTCTGTAGGAGCCTCCTGTTCAGGCACTGGCAGCACAATTCGGTATATCTGCAAGGAACTGCTTTTGTTCTCAGTCTCTGACCAATCCCAAATTTCAAATCTGAGGCTGTATTACCCAAATCCAATAATCCAGCTGACCTTTTAAATGATCCCATTTGTGCTATGTACACAAACAAGTTAATTTTCTTCAGAGCCCTAGGTTTATGTTAAAGGACTGGTGCTACAAGCTTCTAGCACAGCTGCAGTGGACTGTGTCCAGTGGGAGTATCTGAGGAGAAGAGGAGTGTTTCTGTAGATAAGGAGGCCTCATCAGCTACAATCAAAAAGAAATCATCAGGGTGAATAGGGTCTTGCCTTCTCTTAAGTCAGGGAGAAGAAAATAACTCATGACTGATCCCTTAACGAAAGAAAAAGATTCCTGAAGATGCTATAGAGGTTGCTTTTGGAATGTGGAAGTCATGACTTGTCTCACCACCCCACAACAGATAACGAAGACTCCTTCAGAAGCAGCTAGTAAAGACTGACATGGCCTAAACAAACATGCAAAAGTCATAAAAATCTTTCCCTGCATCTGAGTGCCAGAGTTTCAGGTGTCCTGAGCCTTCTCTCAGCCTCTTATGTCTCCCATCATGCAATTAACCAAATTACACTCCATAAAAATAACTCAGGAGAGTAATATAGGTCCTATCCTCTGCAGGGCCATGGAATGAGACTCTCAGGGTGCCCTATTGTAAGGGACAAATTGCCCTCAATGCAGCATGACCCAGTGCCTACTGAGCTGTGTGTCAGGCTCAGAGAGCTTCAGGAGCTCTATTCCAAGCACTATCGTGAGCAGATCAGCAGGGATTCAGTACAGGTTCTAGCGGCACCACTTACTGCACCTTGACTTGGGCTTCCCTGAGCAGATTTACAGTGAACAGACTTCCTCTTTGGGTTGTCATCCTCAGGATAAATTGCTGCTGATATGTCAAGGGATAGGGGGTCTTAGAAAGAGGTTTACCACACAGCACCAGCATTGGTGTGCACACCACTCTGGGGCTTTGTCTAGCAAAGAGCAATAATAAGATGCAGGCATAATTCTGAAGTGTCACCATAACTGGTGCCATTGCTCAAAACAATTATACTATTGCAAGCAATAGTTGTCTTCAGTCTGGCAGACAACTGTTGAGTCAATTGGGCACAAACTTGGTTGCTGAGGCTGTATCAATGTTTGCAAATAATGTGGCACAATTTAAGTGCACCTGTAGAGTGAAACAGGTCATGTATGGACCCAAAATCCACATATGCATTTTGAGCAGGTTTATTTCAAACCAGTTCTAGTTTGGTCTCACAGATAAAACTCAGCAGTGAACAACGAGAGCAGTCCTGACCTGAACTAAATTGGTAACATGGATACATGCTTTGGTTGCTTGCTGTGACAGAACTCATCTGTAAAACACTCATTGACCAGTTCAGAAGAAGATCTGGCAGAGGAGAGGCTTTACACAGCAATTACAGCAGGCCAGGAAAGTCTCAGATACCGTATCCCTGTTACTACACAAAACTCCTCCCAGAATAAGGCTGTATAGTTTACTCACTTTCAATGAAACATTTCAGTCATTTCCAACAGCTGTAGACAAGGGAAGGGAAACTTCCCAGTCAAGAGCACCAGACCCTCACCACCACCAATTTTACCACTCCCTCACCAGTTCACTTCCTCTTCTCCCAGTACCAGATCCAAAAGGCAACTCTTAGTGCATTGCAATTTGAGCCAACTAGAAAAAGAAAACAACCAAGTTTAGCCCCCAGAGTCCCATCTGGTTTCTCATGTTCTTCTGCATTCACCTTCTAAGAGGTTTCTTCCTCTCTTCTTAGCAATGTCAGGGATTTCATGAGTGAGGAGAACCCAGTGACATTAACTCTGAATACTGAACTATCCTTCATAACAGTAGTGCTATAGAGAGGGTCTAGTGAGAAAGGCTTTTTTTGACTTGGCCATAAATCAAAGTTCCTGAATCACTAGCTTTTATTCACCCTACTCACTTGCAGGATGTGCTGTGACAGGAGTACTGAATTCAACAGAGAAGGAAAAATTCTCACATATTAAGTATTATTTTCCGATTGGTGCATAGAGCATCTGACTAAAAAGGTGTGTGGGGAGTGGTTGTTTGTTTCCCTTGAAGAATTACTTCATGTTTGTAGAAAAGAGGCCAACTGGAAAAAGGAAGAGAAGAAAATATGAGCTCACAAATAAGAACTCCAATTTCTGAGAGTATCTCTTAATTTTTGAAGGAATATTTGTATTTTACTTGAAAATTAAAAAGATCAAGGAAAAAAATTTTATGTTAACTCCAAACTAAAAAAAAGTACTTCAACACAACTATTATCTTTCTTTCACTGAACCCAATATCAAGCTTGAATAACAGATTACACATCTTTGTGGATGAGACAGAAGCAGAGAGAAGTGGACGTGAACTTAAATGTGTATTTCAAATTTTACTATGAATTATTTCAAAATAAAATCACAGTATACGACATGACACATGTCCAGTTATACCTTCCATCTAAGAAACTAATTTTTAAGGCAATTCCAATTATATTTTTTAATCAAATTTATCATGACAATATAGAATCAGGATCAAAAATAACCAAACCTTCCTAAAGTCTGATGCCCAAACATGTACGTACAGGTGTTATTCTAGCTAGGTTTGAGTTTCAATTCCCTATAGAAAGAAGAGTCCATCAGTGAAATCTCTCTCAAAATTAATCTTTCCATCAAAATTGGACTGTATTAGTAGAGGTGTCAAGAAAATAAAATCTATTGTAGGGCAAAGACAAAAAGAAAAAGTGGGAGAGAGGGCAGGACTTCCCAGACTGAATGTGAGTAGGTGGGAAAAGAAGGAAGAACCTCCCACAAAGACAAGTATGAGCAGGAATATCAGGTGCTGATCAGTGGGGATGAGAAGACTGCAGGGCAGTGCTGAGCCTCTGAGAGGAAATGCAAAGGAAACAGAGAAACAAAATGCTCTCTATTGCACCTACACAAAAGAGCTAGAAAATCTCCCAGGGGCACAAGGACTGGAGCCATGCAAATGCATGTAAATGGAAGGGAAGGGATGGGAAGGCAGAAGAAGAGGCGCAGTTTTGGTTCTATTTTACACAGTTTAATGCTCATCTTGCAACAGGTACAACCCATGCCTGCATTTCTGTGTATCAACCATTCTTCCACCAGGATAACACCAATCATCTGCAACTATCCAATATGTTTACACAGAGTCTTAGCCATATGTTCCTATGGCCTATGTGCCAAAAATCAGAGCAACTTCCTATCAAAGTCCTGCTGAAATCCTCTGAGTGAGAGCCAAACTGCCTTACTTGGTGTGATACCATAGCAACTCAGAGTCCCCATCACCACTTAACTCTGGAGGTCCTTGAAAAACTCTCAAAAAGCACAGCAAGTACAAGTGGTCCCAGACACGTGGGAGATGCAGGGACACAAACAAATGTAAATACTTTTGTCTGAACAACAGAACACAGCGGAAGGGATATAGGGAGGAGACCCCTGGGTTCAAAGGTGGAGGCTGAAAGTTAGGCAGAATTCATCCCTGCTCTAGTCAAAATTGATTAGATTTTCAGCTTTTACATACAAACACTTGAGCCTCATGCTTTCTTTGCAGACACTGACACCTGTATGCACAAGGGAATGACTTTCCAAATACCAAACTCTCCCAGGTGATGTGTTTTCCCTTCTGGGAACTTCAGGTCTTTAGAAAAAACTATGAGGTCATTGAATGAAACCAGGCAAAATTTTTGGTATTTGTTAATCCTACAGTTACTTCTGCAAGTGCCTTTTGGATATATAATTGTAATATAATTTATGGTATTGCAAAGAAGGTTTGCTGCAGGTCTAGGCTGCCAGTTTTCCTTGATGAAGAGAAAAGAAAAGAAAGGAAATGGAAGGAACCAAATTCCTGTAATTTTCCCAATAGGGAAACAATGAGGCTAGGAAGGTCCTCAAGAACAAGCACTCAATAGCTGAATTAATGACCTGTTTGTTTTCATGTTCTCCTTGTCTTTAACCTCCAAGAAGCAAGCTATTCAAACTGATTACCACTTGAATTACTTTGGGTAACAGCGTGCAGGTGCTTGTAGGGTCTGCAAACATGCATGCTTTGAGACCTACGTTTATTCTATTTGAAGGCATTGATTCACATGTATGACAGAATTGCCAAGGACACAGAAAGTATGAATCCAGTCATAACATTTATGTGAGTCTTAGAATTTTGTAAAATCTGAGTTTCAGTTTTACTTACGTGATTGCTATCAGATCATGATTTCATCACAAGCCCAAACATTTTTATTTAAGAGTCCCTTCTCTTGGAGACAGGTAATTGTGAAACAAACAAACAAAAATAAATTAATTTCTCTTATGAAATAGTTTCTAAGGGTCCTTTTTTTTTTAATAGAGAAGCAGTTGAAGAGATTATTTAAGTAAAGCCCAATTCCTCAAATACCAACAGTCAAAGACAAAAATATTAATGGACTATTTTGAAGTCAGTCTCATGATTTGTAAATAGTTGAGAATATCAACACCAGAACAATCTTCTTGTCTAGTTAGCATACTAGAATGATTAAATGCTTTAAACCAGTTTAAATAGTTTTAAGTGCAACATAAATGTTTAGATGTTGGCTAACTACTGCTGCTTTCTCATACAAAATGGTTACTCAAGACACACTAAGTGCAAACAGAGCTTCTCAGCACAAAGCTAAACCCTTAGGTTCCACACTATATCAAAATTTTTAATGCTGCTTTCAGAAATGCTTGAAACTATGAAGGAATCTAACATGTTTTCCTTGTGTTCTCTCTTCTTTCCCCTTGTTATTAGGTATCAAACCTGCTCAAACAATGGGCTGGTGGCTGGTTTCCAGAGTCAGTATTTTCCATCTGTGCTGGACCGTGAATGGCAATTTTACTGCTGCCGCTATAGCCGGAGATGCCCATATTCATGCTGGTGAGTTCAAGCTGAAACCAAACCTGTGAGCCTCTTTCCCCCAACAATCTCTATAAACCTCTTTGGCTGCTTGGCCTATCAAAAACCCTGTCTGAAAAACGTAAACTGTGTTTTCTGGGGCTAAACATGTTATTTCCAGTCTGCTACAGGACTGTCAGGATCCATGGCTGAGCAAAGAGAATGAGGGCACAGTTACACTGAACAGCACAACAGTACCTGGCCCTCAGTGAACAGGTTTGGGTATCAGCAGCAGTACTGGCTATGCAGGAAACCATGACAGAAGTCTCCAAAGTTGAATGGCATTTTCCCATTATAAATCCAGCACATCTGCAGAAGTAGGAGCACCTCTGCACTACACATTTGTGTCACAAAGACTTACAGGAGTGAACTTAGACCTGTCACCTCAGAAAAAAAAAATATTTGTAGTGCATACAACTTGCTTCCTCTCTCAAGGCTGTTTGAAGACCAAAGTCAAAATGCGCTACTGATCATAAACCCTAAAAAGAAAGGTGGTCTCACCTCAACTCAATATGACAACTGGTACTGACAGCTTCACAGAGGCTGTGGAAAAAACAAGCTACAAACCCTAAGCTTTCCTCTGTCTGCAGGTGTGGTTTCTCTAAATTAAGACTGAAGACAGCAGCAGACTGTAGAGAAAGCTCATGCTGCTCCTGTCCATTCTGTCTAGCAGAACTCACAATTTCATGCTCCAGGGTTACAGTCAGGTTAAAATAAGCAATTCCCAATAATACAAAGAATAATCTGCTTGCATTTGAAAAAAAAAAAAAAGGGGGGGGGGAGGAATCTGTCCTTGAATCTTTGTTTCTAGACCTCAGGTTTGAAGTAAGCTTCCCATTGAGATTCATACAAATTGTTTAGATGCCCCTTGGTCTTATACTTGGCTGGCTGGCTACTGGCCAAACACAACAGCAGTACCTTATTTTTCATCTTTCAGTCTCCTTACAGCCAGGTAGAAATGTTTTTATTATTATGAAGACTTCAAATTACAGAAACTCTGTAACAAAGTCTTTGAACATTCTTCTGTCTTCTTTCCAGCTGACACTGCCTATGGATGCTCTCTGTCTGGGGGCTTATTTACATACCTGCCCAGGTTCTTTCCTCTGAGGGAAACTCACTCTGACTTTTAAGCAGTTCTTCCAATTTATCTTACTCCTTTAATATTGCATGTATTTTCAGAGACAAGAGAAATCTTCTCTGACTTCTTTTGTTGGCAGTTCTGCTTCCCTTAGACGTTGTCTTGACAACAGGGAACAGCTTTGTCTCTGCCTTGCAAATTGGCATTCAGCGTAAGGCAAATCCTAATGTAAATGTTTGGGGTTACTGAAGTCTTCAGTTTCCATCCCAGCTGCACATGGACTCCTATACTGCCCTTCTATTTCCAACAGTGACAACACTCCATTTTTATGCTTGGAAAAGAATGCCTTATGCAATTCAGCTGCAGTTCCATGCAGAAAAGGCAGCATTTCAAAGGCAGGTGAAGCGTTTCTCCCTCTAAGCAGGGTAGAAATCCCATGTGCTGACAATTCTTCTGGAATGGGAGAGCTGCAGAACGTGTGGACAGACCTGTCAGTTGGCTTGTGAAAAGCTTCTGGTGCATAGTTTGTGATTATGGGTTCATTATAAAACCATCTTGTACCCTGTATTACCAGACTCAGTCACTCACCAGGAGCCCACTTTGCTCTGTTCAAGCTACTGGTCTATCTTGACACTTCTATGTCCACTCTTGGCCTGGAGGGTCTCTCATACTTGAGAGTCTTGTTTGACCTTACTCTTTTGAAGTGTCTCCTTACAATATATTTCTTACAGTTTCTTTCATGCTCTCATTCTGCCTTTAGAGTTAATAAGGTGGATGTAAGCTCTTTCCACATGCATTTATCCAAAGCAGGATGTTACAGTCTGGATGGACATACAACTAGATGGGTTTAACAGGCTGGGAGCGCAGTGGTTAAAGGGTGATACCTTCCTGGGTGCCCATCAGGAGCAGAGAACTGCAACTAATGGTCTGCCCTGGGACCTGTCCTGTTTAATGTCTCTGTCAACGACCTTGAGGACGAAACAGAGCACATGCTTGCCAAGTTTGTGTAAGATTCCAAACTGGAGAGAACAGCTGACACTCTTGAAGGCAGGACAGCTGTTCACTGGGATATAAAGGAAACTTTTTCCTCTGTGAGGACAGTGAGAGAGTAGAGCAGGTTGCCCACTGAGGCTCCTTGGAAGTTTTTAAGACTGAACTGAGTAAAGGCCTGAGAAGCCTGATCTGACCTTGTGGCTGAGCCTGCTTTGAGCAGAGGACTGTCTCAGAGACTTGTTGAGGTCCTTTTCCACCAGAGTTATCCTGGGGTCCCACACAGGAGGATTTTTTTACTTGGAGGATCCACACTATGCAGATAAACCCTCCCCTCCAAAACAGTGATCTCTTTTCTATTGTTTCCTGGGAATTGTTTCTTTCTATTTCCTTCACCCTGCCTAGACAGTGCACCAATACTCTGGGTGAGTTCTATTGTTATGCTAACATATAAGCAACATGAACTGCAATGGAGTAGTGTGACACCCCACCCTTTAGGCCCATTTACATTACTACAGATGTGACTGGGCTGAATTGTTAAACTTCAGTGTACAGCAACTAAAATTCCCATTCCCTGAGCCCTGGAGATCTCACTCACTTCCATTGGCATTTCCAAGTTATTGTCACAAGATATTTTTCACACTGCACACTTCTATTTAAGATGCGTTTGACAGAGAGAATATGTATTCCAAACAATCTGCAAAGCAGTTCTGGGCCATGGGTAAGACCTCAAAACGTATATGCATATAAGTAGCAACAAAAACGTGCGTGTATACAGTATCATTATTTATTGTAGTTTCTGCCCCAACCTATAATGGCCTTTTTTCTGTTCCAGAAACTAGCTGTCAATAAACTAACTGTGGAGAAATGGTTATTGACATGCTACTGACTCCTATTTCTTGGTTGAAGCAACTTATTTTCATGCAAAAGCATCTATTAGTATATATTCCTATCTGGAAGAGTAACATCAAGAAAATATGCAAAGATGGTGGTGCCTTGTGGATCATGTATGACACAGAAAAATCCATATTCAAAGACAATCCATGCTGCAGAATTTCTCAGCAGCCTTGAATTTTAATGTGCAATGAATCCTGAAGTACAAAGCCCTAAGTATGGGCAGAAAGGCATTTTTAAGAAAACTGACAATACTGAAGTGTAAAAAAAATCTTTGTTTCAAATCAGCTCTCACCTTGGGTATTTGATCCCTTCCTATTCCAGTTTTCTCCACAGAGGGTTCTCTGGCAGATATAAAAGCAACAGCTGATCCTTAGGCATGGTTTCTCTTGGCTCTTCAGCTTCAGGAGCACATTCCTCCTGAAGTGAGTTGGCCTTCCCTACAATGAGTAAAGGCAGATTTTCCTTATGTATATGAGCTATGCAAATTGTTTGTTAGAATTTGACCCGGATTTTACAACTGGAACGTTTCTGTGTTTCTTGAGACCTGCTAATGCTTATTGGAATACTAATTTATGACACAACCATGCTGACTGAAACCCACACTTAAACATTTTGCCTAAGAGCATGGTTAAAGTCAAATACATGCATAAGGACTTTACTTGGGAGAATCTATATCCTTACTCTTAGAACCCAACAGTTCTGTTTCACAACTCATCTTCTCACAATTAATTTCTCTAGTTTACCTATACAGTAAGCTTATATAATAAATAAATGTACTTATCTTTTCCAGTCTCATAGTTTTGCACTTGCTTTGTAAAATTTTTTTACAAGTACTTTGTTTCCTTCCTCATCATGCCAAGACTTGTCATGGATTCTGCAAATTTTTAACATACTGAAAATAATTAACATTCCTCACAGGACACAGAAAAGCTCCCATTACTTTACCTGGCTAGGGATTGCTATCGCAATAAAATAAACTGTGTCTTGATTTGCACCATGAAGGAAGCAGATTCATCACAGATGCAGAGGCAGTGTCACTAAGTGGTCCCATTAGAGTTTAGATTTTTTTCTTTGCCAAGAAATGAAAGCTTGACTCCATACTCTCAAAAGCAAACACATGTCACAGTGCAGCCCCAAGTCTGCACAGACTATTTACGACTGTTTCCCTTCTCCAAACAACCAGCAGTCCAAATGCCAGAAGGTCTGTCTGGGTCTGTGGCTGCTCTCTGTCATGGTGACATTGTCCAGGCAACAATTACATTTTCCAAGAGTTATGGGGTTTCAAGTACTTATTTGTTCTCTTGACTCAACCTGCCACACAAGACATATTGAAACTGATGTGATCCTATGCAGGTTTCTCAGTGATAACCAATAGCAGAGATGCAAACCAGGAGGTGAATTCAGAATAGATGTGGTGGAAACATGTGGTTCTGGGCAACCCAATTCTCCTCCCCTCTTTTTTCCCCTTTTTAAAGGTATTAAATGGTTTAGGGTTGGGAGTTGGGGTTGCTTTGTTTGTTTGTTTATTTGATTTTATAACCCATCAAATACAACCTTACTCAACTCAACTCATTGAACTCAAGTTCAATCTCCAGGACCATCTTCCACAGACATCTTAGGAGAAACACATTTGATTAACATTAGAAAGCTGGTTGATAATATTTTAGATGTGTCTTTCTTGAGGAGCAGGCATAGGTTGCCCTGAGCTCTCTGCTGTTGTATCCGTATTGCACTAACTCATGCAGGCCTTGAGGAAGAACTGCAGCCCCACTGTGCTGGCCTCATGGCTCCTCAGCCTTGTGAGAATTCGTGATTTTCAGTACAACAGAGAGCAAGCAGAAAAGAGCAGTGATGTGTCTAGGTGAATCTATGATCTTAGAGCCTGAAGCTTGAGCTCAATCCTGAAAACACTCATCACATGGCCACACAAAACTGCTCATCTCTAGAGGAGCTCCAGGACAACTCTAGTTCCCTGGCAGCCCAACAATCTGTACTGGTAGGATTTGCAGGAATGTCTGTAGACAGCTTACTAAGACCTTTGTCGGCTTTTTTGTGAAGGCAGATGACCTCTGTCTTCCAGCTGGAGAAAAAACTGAAATTGCTTAAAGAGGTTTATAATTCCCATGTTCACTGAATGTAACTTGCAGGCTCATGGCTCTTGAAAAAAAAATAAAAAAATCTGTCTTTAGGAGAGCCACGTTCATGAAGCCCTTGTAAATACCTGAAACAATAAGGCCATTCAGGAGACACTCCTTGTCCTCAAAGGTCAGAAAGTTAATGTTAAAGTTTGTTTTCCTCTTGAAATGTGACAGCTTCTTCTTTTGGCTGTGGCATTGCCAGAGGAAGAGTTCAACAGTGAAGAGGAAAATGAAGGTTAAAGAGGAGTCGTTCATCTTGTTAGCACTGTAGTTGCATAAGAAGAGAAAAGTGTAGGCATTTCAAAAAAATGTACTTACTAGAAGGGAATAAGTATATTCGACAGCTGGAGCAAGAAACTGTGAGCTCTATCACTGTCTTTGATATTTTAAAAGACTCATTTCTTTTGTCTGCTTGATATCTGAAGGCAAGGCATACCCATAGTTCTCACATACTTCTTAAATGAGCGGGGTGTACATACTAATAAGGCCATTGCTGTGACTTGATCTTCTTACTGGCAAAAAATAGACTCATGATAAGTATTTCTGAAGTCAATTGTTAACAGAGTGCCATGGATCACTGTAAATTAGTACAAAACATTCTTCTTGGTGCTAAATGAGTAACTGTGTTTTCTATTAATCTCTACCATAGCAATTCTTCACCATGGAAAATAAACACCACAATGATTTTCAGGCTAGAATAATAACAACAGCAACCCTGGTAAAGATTTCATGCGTTTTTTCAATACATTTCCTACCCTGACCAAGATTTATAGGATTAGAATGAAATACAATAGAAAAACATGGGAATGGGTGGGGCAATGCAACCCACTCGAAAAATAAACCATTCCACATCAAATCTATACCAGCTAAAGAAACCATTATGAAAACACCTTTTTCTGTCAGCAATTCCTGCACTCCCACACACAGGTCAAACTACTTACATCCTTTCTCACAAGATTTTCTTTCTGTATCTTTAACATAGAATTACCTGCTTTCTCCTCTCTGGACAATGCCACTAGTGCTTTAAGTCTCTTGTGTCCAAACACCAAACACTTTCCTGAAGTGGATTTGAGAAACAATTTCATAAGACCTATTTTATTGCCAATAGATCATATCGACTGAAAAGACTACCGCTAGTTAAAGGTCTCACAGTACTCTTTTCTCTCCTACAAGTCATTCCCCAAACTTAAAAGCTATGTGTACATCTGAGTTTAACAGACAATTCCACTAAAAGCACCCTGATAGCCCCTACACAGATCCCTACAAATGCCCCTTGGCATATGTTTGGCATCAAATTACCCAAGGTCCTATGATCCATATAACACACAGTTTCTTACAGCTGATTTGCAAGTCTCTCTTCTAGGGCCTTTTAGGATGTATCCACTCAGGCACCACAAGCACAACCAGCTTGGTCCTAGAGAATTTGTATAACCCAAAGAGCAGCAGTAACTTTGTCCGAACACTTGGCAATTCCCAAGCTTCTCACTGCTTCCCTAGCCAAGTTTTCTTTGCTATGAGTTCTATGCTATAAGTGCTTACAGGGCACTGTGCAGGTTACTGTGGATGGCTCTTCCCAAATGAGTCTTGCCCTTGGGCTTGGACTCCTTAGAAATCTAAGCTCTCATGAGCAGGCAAACCCTTGCTAACTAGGGCAAAAAGTGTCTCTCATGGGTTTCATGACTTCTCTCAGGTACAAACCATACATCACCACATCTGGCTTATAAATGCTACCATGTTTGTAAATAACTTACATGTCTGTAAGGTCCTGGTAGGTGGTTTACAAGTTAATATGCATTTTGTATGCATTAGTGAGTAAAACACACAACATTTTCAGTTGAGCATTCGATAATAATGTTCGCATTAAACACTAGAACTTCTCTCAGTGCACACATTTTTTTGTGAATTACCCCCAGGATTCAAAAAATGAAGATAATATTAAAGGGCTAGGTCACACCACAGAACCCTGCTACATGGACAATCAACTGCATTTCCTTCTAAAGGATACAGTGCAAGACAACTGACCTTGAGATGCATGGCCTTAGAGAAAGAGTTTTATAAATGAGCGCAGCAAACATCAAAGAGAACTGAATTAGACCACACAGACTCAAGTGAACTTGAACACTGCTGCCATAGCACTATTTATAATTTTTCTCTCCAGAACAAAAGGAGTCAGTAGGCATCTGTCTGTGTTACAAGACACATTACAGAGCAGCTCAAGTCCCCAAATCATTTATTTTCGGTAATTGCATATATTTGCTTTTTGAACATTTCTTAGCGGAGGAGCCTTAAGAGGCTGAATGGTAATGTGGAGAAGTTAGTAGAGAGGGAGGAGGAGATGACAGCACTCAGAAAGAAAAGAGAGGAAAGTTAAATGAAGACTCCCACTGCACTTCAGAATAACACTGTATGCTTCTGCAAAAGGTCTGTGAGACCCTTCACAGCAATTCAGAAGCTTGTCATCAGATTCACTTTTCAACTGAGAGGCTCATGAAACACGTTCGAAGAACTGACTCTCAGTTGTATTTATGAGTAGGGCATCAAGCAGCTTTTTAACCTTGTGTTGTGCACTGTCTCATCTGCCTAGCACACACTGCTGGTCAAGATTACAGAACATTTTCCTTGCCGAGTGCCAAACAGATGTTATGAAACACAGTTGCTGGAACATATATAAACACACATCTTAGTATTTTCTCATAATAATTGTCAAAAAAAAGCCCCAAAATCTGGAGTTAATGGGAGAAGGCAAAATTAAATCATGGTCCATAGCTGGTCTTGATACAACACTTCAAAACCTTCTATGACCCAGAAATTTTTGAAGATGTGCTATCAGGTAGCAAATTAGTAAACTAAAAATGGGGACTGGCTGAGGGAGCAGTGGACATGGTTTCTTCTATTTCTCCTAGTCCAAAGCAGCTGTCTGTATGAACTCTGAAATCCTGCTGATATTTCTTGCCAATTGCAAGAGGAGGCTTTGCAAATCCATCTGTCCTCAGTCAAAGCTCTGACAACAGATGCTATGACCAGGTCTGATGTTCCACTTCTGAAACACACTTTGGGGTGGGTGTCCTTGTATTACAACTCAGAATGTGTTTGACAATTGCCATGGTCAAAGGACAGGAGATATGACCATGAGATATACTCTAAGTTGACTGGTGAGACTTAGGGATATTATAAAGCCATACTTGGGTTTCACACTCAGGTCTGTTTTTCATTTGTCAAGAAATAATGATTTGTTAGGAATGATGTTCCAACTGAATGATGCTTTTCTTTCATATTCAAAAGCTGAAAATTACCTGGAAAGTAGTTCAGTTTTCAGGTAAACTTTCAGCTTCTGAATACTCCAACAGTTACTGGTTTGGGCTCCAAATACCCCAAAGCATCTCCTTATGAAAACTCAAAACCATCCCAATAACTATATTCCTAATGAGTAAAATATTTAAGCCTCTGCTTAAACTCCACTGATTTAACCAAATGTAAACATGCACATGAGTGCTGGTGGGATGTGCTAGAATCACCTTCAAGCATCTTTCAAGTACTGCTGCTGGGCTGGATTCAGTCAGGAAACCAGTTGTCAGGATTTCTGTGAAGGTGTCTTAATCCTGTTAATCTCAATAGGAATTGAGTTGTTTATTTCCATGGGGACAGCATCTACCTTACAGGGAACCTCATTCTTCCTTTTGCTGTTTCAGAATGAAGCTGACACAACACCACAGGCAACTCCTATGTAAAATGGTATAATACAAGGAAAGACAGAGTGCCAGGTTTCCACTCCTGACCTCTAACATAATGTTGACAGAAAGTATTGGTTGCAGTCCCAGCCTGTTCCTGAATCTGTTCATTATCTGTAAAATGTAGTACAGTATTACTTGCCTATTTTCCAGGAAAGTAGTAATCACAATTTGATTAATAATTGCAGAAGCACTTTGAGGTTCTCAGATGAAATAATCTGTATAAATATTGTCCAGTCCCATACTTTTATGTTATAAATTAGGCAGAAAATGGAAACAGCAAAAAGGAACGGATTAATTGCCACATTCATCTAATATGATTCATCAATGGATAAATCCTTGTAGTTGTTTGGCTTGGCAACATTTACTGCACTCTGCAACAACAAACCAAACAGACTTACAAGAGGCTGGAGTAAAACCCTGCAATAAAGATATAAGTAGTAGACAAGCTTTACTTTCTTCTCAGGTTGCTTTTATCCCAGATCTGCAGATGTACATACATATAACACTTCAATGTCCTCTTAACAGTTCTAAAGTTATTGAAATTTATTCAAATAGCTACATGAATTGATTGCATAGAAGAGAAAGGCAGTCTCATAAGTGAGACTGCATCTTGTGGTGCTGTTAAGAAACAAGAATTTTTTTAAGAAGCAGGAAAAATCAACTAATTGAGTTTTATTCAGTCAATTGGACTCTTATATAAGATGGTAAATTATATTATCTTCTTTTTCTTTAATATAAAGGTTAACAACAGAATATCCAGGACACTACGGGGAAGATATGGATATGATGATGTACACTTATGACTATTACATCCGTGGGGCAACCACAACTTTCTCTGCTGTGGACAGGTTTGCTTTTCATCTGTTTCATTAGAATTTTTTTTTTTTTAAAAAGTCTTTCTTTTCTATTTCCCCCCAACAGTGCATGGCTACACATCTTCTGCTGTGGTCCTCAGCATCAGACTAGTCCTTCTGAGGACCAAAGTTCACAGTCATATGATTCATTGTCCAGGGTGGTGTATCAGGAGCAAGGCATCTTCATGCTCAAGGGGATCATTTGTCATGTCCATCAGAACAGTGAAAAATATAGCAGTGGTACATTTGGGTCAGTCTGAGCTCCACAGAGGGTAACAGACCTTCAGCATTGTTTCTTACCTACCCCTATTTGGACTACATTTCATTGAGGTCAGTAAAAACACAGCCTGAACACCCTGTCCCTTCAGGGGACCAGGGACTTCTTTTGGTCCACTTTTCTTTGAAAAGAAGCAGGGAATGTGCCAGACACGATAAGACCACACAAACTGCAATGTGAATGCTGTAAACTGCCCAATTCACTTCAACACAATTCTAACAGGTTTGAGACCATGCCAGGAATTAACGTAATGCAGTGTACATTAATCCCTTTCCAGAAAATGAGTTAGCTACTTTTTCGTGATCAGTCCTGGTCAATTCTTGACATTTACTAATGTTCTTGTGAGAGGCCCTATTACTACTGAAGTTTCAGTCAGGCAAATAAATGCATATTTTTTCTGCTCAGTTAAATAGAAGTGTCTCTCTCTCTTTACTATGCCAAACTGCAAAGCTTTAAAATTTGGACAGTGCCATCTGCCCTGGACTACAGAGCAGGTTTAGGGAGAGTGTAAGCAGTCACTGAAACCTGATTGTGGGAAAGAGATCTTGATTCTTTTGAGCTGACCTCTGATACATCAATTGTGAGCTATTTCTTTGCTGGTGTCATTTATCAGACACCTCAGTCCAGTATATGAAAGCATTTGTTATCAAACACAGCACAGACAGCAAGACAAGGAGTGTTACATTGGTCTGCAAAGACTGGCTACAAGAGAAGGGGGAGAGAAGTGAGAATTTAAACACAACAACATTTCAAGCTGTCTCTAATAACACTCAAAGCAGCTGAGATGCTTTTGTCACTGTAATACTCTCAGCTTGCTGGTGTTTACTAGGGATCCCTCAACCAAAAGGTCATCCAAAACAAGGAGGCTTTTCCAGCAATGATAACACATTGTAAGACTGATGATCAGTTATGACTGATCCATAACTGTAATGTCCTATCTAAAATATATTGTCCTGTTTATTATCAAATGGAAGCCACGTGTGCAAATTGTTCCTACAAGTGGAAGAATTACTCTCCCAGATACTTGACTCAAAGGTATCTATTTATCCCTTTAGATTAAGAATTTACAAGGTTGCAAGAGACAATCCTGCTTTGGGCTTTTTTTTGTTAAACATTCCCCACCCTTGTTCCTCATGGCTGTGGTAGAGAGTAGGGGAAATAAAGTAGACAGTGTGTTCCCCTGCAGCTGGATTCCAGACTCCCTCACATGTAGACCAGAGCAAAGTCTGGAATCACAACGACAAGCCTGGAAAACAAAGCAGTTGGGGTAACCAATACCTCTGAGCAGATTTCTGTCCATGACTGCTGAAGGCTTAACACAGCCTCCAGAATGGGGTGGCAGTGGGAGGACTGGCCAGGAGTGGAGGCAGCTCCATGGGATGTACATCAGCATCAGGACTACAGGTCCTCACAGGTTACAGGACCATAGTTCCTGGAAAGGGAAGAAGCCACCAACACCTTTGTCCTACCACTGCTGTGATGGCAGACATGAACATGCAGTAGTAGCAGGTGAAAACTACAGAGAAAACCTTTTATCTCACATTAGAAAACTTTTCTGTGCCAATGAACTCTCTGGCTCTCAGCTTCCAGAGTGACTAAAGCAAACTTGTGTTGCTGAGCGTATGATGTGAAAAAAAATTCTTGCTATGCCAGTTCAGAATTCAAACTCATGATGCAACACTCCTCCTGCTCACAAGAGTCAGCAAAGTTTGTCATCCTAAATGGTTCTTTGCAGCTGGTTGAGGCAGAATAGGAGAAGAAAAAGGTATTCCAAGTCTCAGCCTGCCAGGAGCATGCAGACGTGGGGCATGTCTGTGTAAATTTTGTTATTGCTTTTCATTTTCAAGCATATTAAACTTGTGTCCATATTATTTAGTCCATGATGGGTGATGTTCTTGAGCACAAAAAAAGCCTCTGAAGGTGTTTCAGTTTAAGCTTTCCCAATCACTTCAAACAGCTAGGCATTTTTAGACTTGCAGAAATCACGTCCTCCCTTCCTGCTCCGTAAGACACTGCATCACTGCAGTCATTGTTGATACATAGATATTTGAGACAGCATGTGATGTTTGTGGCAAAGGATGCAGAAAGTTCAGAATGGTGGTATCCCCACCTCCTTTTCTGTAATCATTCTCAGTGACTTTTCATACCTGTGTATCAGAAATGAATTAACAAGTTGTTGTTGATCATCAGGGGTTTTACCTGTTCATGTGTGGAGAACAGACTTCAGAAGTGGTTAACCATGTTTACATTTTCCAGTCTCATTCTAAATGGGTCAAAAGGAGAAAACAACTGTCTATAAAGCAAGACAGAAACAGCTGGAAAGAATTAGCAGTGGCCTGAAGTATCTCTGGGAGCCCATTCGGGAATGTGGTGATAACACTTGTGCAGACAGGATGACCTAAGGACATAAGTAAGGGAACATTTGCAGGAAAAGAGAGTATCTTTTGTCTGACAGACTGATACAGCCAAGTTTCAGAGAAGGACATAGGGCATGTAAAACAGGCTGTAAACGACTGAAACTGCCCACGTAGTAAACCCTTGGCAAAATACCTTCCAAAATTAAACCCAAGGAAACAAACAACAAAACAGCTTCAGCCTGAGCCCTGAAACGTGCTAATTGGTGATCGTATGGCTTCCTCGTGGCATGCTGTTATGTGGCTGTGGTCAGGTTGGATCAGCCTCTCAAGCCCACAGAGCACCACTGGAACGTTCACTGTTCACTGCAGTCCAACCTGCGAGTAGCTTGGACAGGGAGTTAGGGATTACCAGGCGTGCTTGGTAGGTGCCACAGCTTGTCCTCTGCTACACAGCATAAAAATAGCCCATGCAGACTGTCATAAGCTTATTTCTTTTACAAAACTGCTCTCTGCTCCGTACTATTTGGGTGATCTGAATAGCCAGTTATTTCTTAATTGCTCAGACATCATCACTGAAAGATAAATTGAGACCCAGATACTCCAGCAGTAAGTGCATCTGAAATGCCTGGACAAGTTGGACACCTACCAAGCTCAGCTGAGCTAAATTATAGGGTATTTAAGGTCCCTAATAAGTTTCATATGAATAAAGAGAACTTTGTGAAACTCAATATCAGTAGGAATTCGCAGAATTTTCTTAACTGAACTGGAAACAGATTATTCAACAATATTTGGAGATAAAAGATATTTTCTCTACACATCAAAAATTTGTATCTGACAGTACATGAGATCTGGAATGCAAAAGTGACATCTCAATATTGATTCCTCAAGCCAAGGAAAATGCATGGAATTAGCAGCTGAGGGGGATGAAACCTACAAACTGGTGTTCAGGATCTGCAAAGGCAAGTTCAGACATATTCCAGCGTATGCCACATTGAGAAATTCCTGACAGGATCTGTACCCCCACTGGTAAACTTGTAAGGGGTCTACAAATCGAAACAGGATGATAACTATTGAATTAAGAACACAGCAGCAATAGCACAAAGTAATTGTCTGCATCCTGAAAAGATGGATGTATATATGCTTAACTTTAAACACAAGTAATGGGGGAAAAAAGGTAACAAGCCATTAAATGTATCAACCATGTGCATGCATGCTAATGTGTCTGCAAGTAAAAGCTTAAAGGAAAACTTTAGAAATCATTCTGTCCCAGTATTTTAAAGCATGTTATTAATTCAGGTGACTAAATTACATTTATTTTAAAGAACTTGACTTTTAATTTTACAATATTCTAATTTAGAAAAATGACTTGACCTAAGATTTTGAGCTAAAAGTCTCTCTGGCAATGGGTGCCAGTTTAGCAGACCTTAATTTTGACCCATATAATTCCGTTAATCCACATATGAGTCCTCTTTATTTTTTTATCTCTCTTGGTAGCTTAGTGACCAAAAGAGTAATAACTGTCTTTGAAGAGCATGCATGTAGTCTAAATGAGGAATTCTTAAAATAAACCTAAAAATGAATCTTGCATTTCATTAACCTTTGGTAACAGTTTTATGAGGAAATTACAATTAAAAAGCATCTAGGAAAGATCTAAAGAGAACCAAACTCAAACATTATATAACATCAGACTCGCTGAGAAGCATGAGACAGACCCAGTTCCAAATGACATTCAGCATAAACTGGTGAAGTAGCATAGTATATTTCCAATTAAAAGATCTCAGTTAACGAAAGCTGAAATGGGACAATTTATACCTACAAAGAGCTTAAGAGTCAAGTTGATCTTATTCCAGTATAGAGTCGGCCAGTCAATGAAACCACATAAGCACAGTTAATACCAAAATCTGAGCTCAGGTGTCTCAGCACATTCCTGAGATTACATTCCTGAGAGGTTTGGCACCAGTTCCATCTCCAGAAAACCAGTACTGTGCAGGTGTCTCAAAAAGCAAGCTCCTATGGAATCACACCAGCAGCATCACCTGCCCCATGCCTCCGATTTAGGAGATCACTATTAGTAGAATCCAAACTTCCAGAAGCCTCTTGGAATACTGCCCATTACCAATTTAAATGGTGGGTGCCATCTGCAAGAGCTGCACCTTTTATCTAAATTCATGTTAGCCAGTACGAAGCAGCCCAAATCCAACATTCCCTCCAAAGCAGGACATTATTTGAACATCTGAACTCATGTCTTCTTGTCAAAGGAAAATTTACTGCACAATAAACTAAGGTGGAAATTTGCAGCTTATTATTTAAGGTGGAAATAGCCAATGTTGCAGCTATTGGACACTAAATCACACGCATCCACTGCTGAATCCTGTTTCTTCAGTCAGGTTTAAAAATTGTTACAAGGTTTCATAACAGTCTCCTGACAGAGAATACAGACATCCACCACTCACAAACTGGGAAGAGCATGAACTCTCCTTACACTTATAAAACTTACTCTTCCTCACACGTGACTTGTGGAGATCAAGGATGAGAAATGAATTTAATTTCTCTCACTATTGATTCCATCAAATCTGTAATACAGGACACTAGCTAGAAGACCTGGTAATGAAGGATATATATAAAAAAGAAGTTAAATTTGCTGGATGAATAACTCCTCACTTAAAAATATAGGCTTGAAAAATCACCCAAGTATTTTACTTTTTACACATTCCTAAGCAATATATCACATGACAACAACTTTTGACAGAATCATCCTTTTCCTCTTGGTCTCTGATTTAAAGTCGATTTAGGACTGATCACCATCAAGATTCATTGTTTTCTGAAGGATACTAAGAGGTGTAATTATTCAGAGAGCTGATTTTCTTACCCTGTAAGGGAGCATGAAGGAATTGTAACTATCAGACATATTTAATGTCCTTCCAGCCCACAAAAACACAAAGCACTCAGACAAAAGTCAGCTAATGGCAGACAGATGTTTTTGTTGTGACAATATCTGGTATAAAGTTATTCTTACTTGTACAGCATCCTCTGCAGTTCTGACTCACTAATACCTATCTCTTGTCTCTCTTTCATGCAGGGATCGTCAGTGGAAATTTATTGTCTGCAGGATGACAGATTATGACTGCCCATTTCAAAACGTTTAAAAATGAGGAATGTACCCCACTTGGAAAGCTTGGGGACAGACAGGGTGTGATGAGGGTTAGTCATTACAGGAGAAGTGCAATTAGGCTACAAAAAAAGTACCAAGACCCATCAGCTGTCTGCTGAAGATGTAATTCTTTCCCTCTGGAGCTAATAAATAAATTGCCAGCCCATGTGCTTGCAACAGCAAATTCGCAGGATTCTTTAAAGCTGCACTGACAGTTGTATTCCCCAATAAAAATTGCTTAAGATACACATGTTAATGATACACAATTCTCTGGCATATGCACAGTTACCTTTCTTATATATACATATAGCCATTCTGAACACATACAACTTTCTTTCACATAGCAACTCCATATAAATTGCTTCCCAGCACAGTGACTCTGAATGAGTTGGAAACATACTATAAGCTTCCCACCATACACTAGACTTTCATGTGTTCTGCTCTGTACTTGGAATCAACCCAGTGGTCCCTACCAGCTTCCTAGCATCTAGTAGCTGGAAGTGTGTTGAAACGGCACCAGGAGGTCTCTGATGTAACTGCATCTGGCGTTACCTATTACAGACCTCAGCTTAACTTCACTGCAACAAAGGTCTGCCAACACAGGGAAATTCCAGGTATTTACAACACAGGAAGACATCAATATCTGATAAAAATGAGAGTAGATCCATCAATAAAACCAGAAGCCTACCCCAGCTTTATTGAGAGTCTCTTTTATATCGTCTTAAAAGCCTCTAAAAACATAAACAGCTTGGAGCTCTACCCTGGTCAAACCCAGGAGTAGGTCAGTCCACTCACATTCCCAGTAAATGTGGATATCACACTCATCAGGAGTCTGCTTTTCAGGTGGATTGGGTTTCCACTATGGGTACCTGCACAACATCCATCTGCCCTTGGTAATACATTCTTGGTTTAGAACAGAAAAATAAAGCTAACGACTTAGGTGACCTCGTTTCCTCCAACTTGCAGATCCTATTCCCTGTAAAGTATAAGCTGACCATGTTTCAAGACCGCACAGCACTTGTGCAGCTGTAATCCAACAAGACTGTTGATCTCTTTCAGGAAGGTCTGAGGCAGGATTTTCACTCCTGAACAATCTAAAATTTAGGGCTCAGTTTCTTAGTTGATGAAGTCAATGGTAAACTTAGCAGTGGCTTCAATCATGGCTCGCTTAAGGGCCATGATGACCTCATGTACCAATTTAAGGTTGCAAAGCTTCATAGGAAACAGTGGTGTCAGCCAGTTAGTTTCCATGTTCCAAGCATTTTTAACATATTTACCAGCATACCCTCAAGCGTGAGCATTAAATCTGTCCAATAAATGAATAATAGGTTTTGCATTGCTGTAGCCTTGTTCTTTATTGATTTTACTTACACAGGCTTATTAATTTGCACACAAAGAAACCCTCTGTCATTCTCAGAGGCCATAAAGGTGATTAGGGAATTTCTGTGAGAGCAAGTTGCTGAGACATGTAACAGTGAGAAAGAGAATTCAGGAGGCTTAGGGAAGCTGGAGAAGCTTGTTAGCTGACACTGGCAGACAGGCAAAAGAAGCCAAAGGAGCTACAAACAGGAGTGCACTAGAAGAGAAGGCACTTAGGCCAGGGAGCTGGTGGAAAAGGTTGGGCATTAAAACCAGGCATAGAAGGATCGTCTCTGAGAACATCTGCTCTAGATTGACACCCATCTCCCACATAACTGTATCTTGACAACTTAGGCTGCTCTCCGTTCTCTGTGCATACCAGGGGCTTATGAAGGCATTTGAGGGGACAGTGCAATATCATCTTCAGCTGATTTAGACCCACAGTGCCACAGACAGGAGTAGTTCTGGTCTCTTATCCTGGAGCTGCAGTGTCATGTTGTCTCACATCATAGAATCATTAAGGTTGGAAAAGACCTCCAAGATCATCGAGTCCAATCTTTAACCGAGCACCACCATGGCATCTAAACCATAGCACTGAGTGCCACGTCCAACCATTTCTTGAACACCCCCAGGGATGGTGACTCCACCACCTCCCTGGGCATCCCATTCCAATGCTTAACCACCCTTTCAGTGAAAAAATTCTTCCTGATGTCCAGCCTGAACCTCCTGCTTGAGGCTATTTCCTTTTGTCCTATCATTAGTTACCTGCAAGAAGAGGCCAATCCCCACCTGGTTACAACCTCCTTTCAGATAGTTGTAGAGTGATAAGGTCCTCCCTGAGCCTCTTCTTCCTTCTCCAAGCTAAACAACCTCTGCTCCCCTAGCTGCTCCTAATAAGACTTGTGCTCCAGACCCTTCACCAGCTCTGTTTCCCTTCTCTGGATTTGTTCCAGCACCTCAACATCTTTCTTCTTGTAAGGGGCGCAAAACTACACACAGGACTCAAGGTGCAGCTTTCCCAGTGCTGAGTACAGAAGGACAATCACTTCACTTGTACTTCTGGTCACACTATTTTTGATATAGACTAGGATGCCATTTGCCTTCTTGGCCACCTGGGCACACTGCTGGCTAATGCCACCTTTCCTCCTCATCCCTGTCCCAAATGCTTGTTTCTGCCCATGCTCTATTCCCAGCTCCACCCTAGCAGTGCATCTGTGTAGGACACATTTCACAGGACTCCTCTTCAGAAAGTAATTCTCAGATGAGGAAAGGCGTGGGTGGGAAACAGAATGTATCTTGGGGGAGGGCAGAAATGGGATATGGACCAAAAAAACCCCAAAAAGCAGAACTGAGGAAGTGAAAGAGCAGTTCCTGTGAAGTCCTAGGACAACTAGTTAGCAAAACTAGGAACTGAACTTAGTTTTTATTTAAGATTTAATCTAAGTTGCAGCATCCACTTTTAATCTTCAGGTAACCTTTGTGTGTGGGAAGACATTGCTCCAAAGCTGATTAGGTTCCAGCCCAAATTCCTCAGGACGGATTAAGATGATGATGAGCCTGCCTTGCAAAAGTTTGCCAGCTTCAAAAGCTGATCAAGAGAGCTTTAACTTTCCTAAAACCATCCTGGACAAGAAAGCCTTTCAACCTGCTCAGGACACCCTACTGAACATGAACCACCTTTCCCTCATGCAAACATAAACCAGATGGCTGTGCAGGGAAATGAACAGAGTGGTACCCAGTCAGATCAAGTACAACTGAGCACAGGTGCCCAGTACAGGGAGGTCACAGCACTTCTTTATTCTCATGTGCTCCATGGCACAGAAGCACCCCACTTACACTTGTACTATACTGAGTAAAAGTCACCCCTGATCTGAGAGCCAACACAAAGTCTAACATTTTAAATAAGCCCTTATTTTTTAAAAAATAAGACATTAGGAAATAAAGTTCTATTTATTTAACAAATAACAACAGTATAGATTGAATTCAAACATCTGAGAGAAAAACATTCCTTTGTTAATGCTGAGTGTTGCCCCAACCATGCTACAGAGGCTGCTGATGGCATGCTGTCAGCAATTTTTTAGATGAACTAGGGCAGGGTAATCTTCGCATTCAAAAAGGGAAATTCAAAAAACAAGGAGAACATTGTTTTTCTAAATCTAATTAAAACAGGTGAAGTGGGGTGGCCTGGTAGGGGAAGAGAAATACCAATAGCAACTCCCTTTGTGGCTCTCTTTTAAGTTGAAACTCAGCAAAGGCAGGTGCTAAGCCAAACCCAAATCCTGCATCCGATCCACTTGACTTGAAGAGAGGTTTGAATTCAAAACAGAACAGTGTAAGTAATTGAGGAAAACAGTCAAAGAAGGAAGACCTCAACTGTTTTTCCTCCTAAATCTCAAGGCTAACTTAAAACCCATGGGACTTCTGATAAAAAAAAAAAAAAAAAAAAAACCCACAAAAAACCAACCAAGTGAGCTCTATTTTTTAATATATTCTGATTTCTTGGTTTGCAGGGTATATAAGCACTTCCAACATTTTTCACTTTCAGTAATTTTCAAGTGCTTCAAACAGTATTTTCCAATTACTTCTCAACGATGCTGAGCCTAGAAATGTGGGTTTTTTATGTGAAGGCTGAGATTCTTGTTTAATCACTTGACAATGAGAGCTGAGACATCAGGACTTTTTTTAATGTTTTATACCAAATACTATGAGGCTCACAATAAATATGACTTAGGAACACAGCACTGATGAAAAGAGGAAATAGCAAATCCAGAGCCATGTTGAAATAAGGCTTATTTCCTTTAAGATCAAGAGAGACTTTTCAGCCTCTTCCAGTTTAGTGTTGAGGATTTTGTAATATGAGGTTAACCTGGCAGACAGTCATGCATTATTCCAAGCAGAGTGATGCCAACATAGCTGAAGAGAAACCAGTCTGTAAGAGAACCAGGAGATCTGGCAGAAGACCAGTTGGCCCTTACGAAAACTTACTTGGACTTGACCCTTGACTCACAGCCATCAACTCTTTTTCTGTTTTTAAATTTTATTTCAAGCCCATGTTTATCTCATCAGCAACATGTTACTGAACTGACCTGCATCTTTAAGGCTACTGTACTGTTTGCAATCAGAGAGTATGAACATCACTGGTAGTGGCACTTTGTGCCAGAGCTGTTGGCGTGAACCGTGGGCAGGAGGAGTTCTGCTAATAACATGTTATCAAACATAAAACACTGCTTATGCCTAGACTTACTTGTCAAGACAGATGAGTTACACAGAGAACTGCCACTTTATTCCTCACTCTTTCAAGGTACTGGTATGTGTGAAGCTGATGCCCTGAATAGTAATCGGGACTTATGCATTGAGAAGTTTAGAAAAGGCACAGGGCTGCCCACATGTTGAAAATTGAAAACTTACAGAAGCTGCTCTGGGTCAGAGCCAACAGGTTTGTCTTTGTCTTTCTGACCTTCATTCCTGAACAGCATTGATTTCATTTTTATCCAGTTTGTGATCTTTGGGCAAAATCAATGGAGTTCAGCCTTAAGCAAGAGTCACATCTAAATACTTCTCAGGATCTTAGCTGACTCACCTCTACAAGGAATACTGGAAAAACTGTACCTTGAGTTAGAAAAAATAAAACAAAGACTGTGCCAATATAGACACAGATGGCCAAGGCAGCACATATTCTGTTCATACTTTCTTAAGACAAAAAAGCTCTGAATTGGTCAGGCTGTTGTACTAGATGGTCACTGCAGGTCATTTCTGATTGAAATGGTCTATTCTATTCTATCCTACTTGAAAAATCTAACTGACTCAACCTCATGAAGACCAGAACTCCCTTTGCCTTAGGTTATCTTTAAATCATTCAAGAAGAATAAAGAGAAGTTTTGCTAAGCTTAGCACTAAAGCCTCATCAACAGGATAAATCCCAGCATGTAAAAAAAGTCACAGCTATATTTTTGTAGAATGTGAGTTTTAGTTTACATGCTGGATCAAATTCTCCAGGCCTCGCCTGAACCAGACAAATCACCACAGGGCAGAACCTGATCCCAAAGAGATCATCCTAAATCATGGAGAACACAGAAGACACGGATGAAGAAGAGAAAAAACTGAGGGGAATGACAAGAGCCAAAGTGAAAACAGTGAAAGAGAGACATGAAGCCACCTGAAGAATATGCCATTATGTAATTTCCTAAAATAAATGCATGCTCCTCTATCTTAGGAGATGAAATGACTAGGATAACTTAATACCAGGAAAGAATTTGGAGAAAGCTCCCCAAATAACTTAGCAAAGAAAAAAGCCAGCACAGTTATATCAACTACCATCCTCAAAAAGCAGAGGAGTTGCCAAGTGAAGCAGAACCAACTGATAATGTTGATATAATTCTTTTAATCTGTGTTTGGAGCTCTTAACCCTTGACCAAAGAAAATAGAGAGATGAGAGCTGAAGGAATAAGTCAGTGAAGCGTAAGTAGAAGGAGGAGGTGTGATCACAGATTAAGAAAGATGCAAGGAAAGAACAAAAGCAAATAAATTCTCAACAAACTAAAGAAAATGGGTCTTTGGCTACAACACATGGCCTCTGAACTGAAATTCTATTTTTCCATGGTTGTGTGAGGCTGCATAGAATGTTTTCCTTCAGCTAACATAAACACATTACTCAAGCTACTTTAAAATTTGAAGTTACTCAAGATTCTGGCTTGGGTTCAGTCCCATGCTAAAGTGAACAATCTTTGACTTGGAAATGGATATATTTATCAGCAAAAATACTGACATAATTACACTAGTTATCCAAGATTAAGTGCTTTTTTTTTTCCTTTGAAAATTAACAAATGCCATAGCTATGACCAGGGGTGAACATGATTCCCATCCACTTCTTTCCACCCAGGCAAGCTCACAGTTTTTTAATCTCCTCAACCCTTACTTCTGTTTTCTGTGGGAGGCAGGGAACGTGA